TGGTGCTGGCCCGGCGTCAGCAGCATCTATGATCACCACAGCCTTCCCACGAGCTGTAGCGTCGGTAAATGTGGTCTGTGCTCTCACCTCCGGCCGCTGCTCCTCGGTCTGCTCTGTTACCCTCGACGCTGAGGTGTTGCCCTCAGCAGGTTTAGCACTCGGAGCACTCGTGCCTGGCTCGGCTGGTCCCTCGATCACCTGCTCGGGGACTGTTGTCTGACTGCTCGCTTGCTGAGGCCCCGACGGATCTTCTACTATGGCTTCCTAGGTGGTCGGCTGCTGGGTAGTCTGCTCTGTACTTATTGGTGGCGCCACGCCACTTCCGGCTAGCTGGTCCGAACTTTCTGTGGACGCCGAGCTAATACATCCGAGATAAGTTCAGAAAGCAATCATATTAAATGCAAATTGCTAACTTATATCAAGGTTACAAATACTTACATGTTGGAAGCACTGAATGATGTGGAGAAGGCGCGTCTCTTCAGCCGTACTTGCTCCACATGTTGTGCGGATGACCCCTGGTCTTCCTCTACATCCAGCACTGTCGCTGGGCCTTGGTGCTCGACCCCTCCGCCACTTGTCCTTCGTGTTGCAGTGGTCGGTGGCGTGCACGGTTGAGTTGTCGCTCCCGTCGCCGGTCGCGTTCCTTGCCCAGGTACTCCCAAGGTCGACCCGGCTGCATCCTTCACCGCCGTCAGCGATGTGGGTCCCACAGGCGCGGAGAACCCACCTTGCTCCATTGACTCCAGTTGCTTCCTCCTTTTTCGAGGGACAAGTTGAAAGGTGTCTGCATCTTCTCCCTCCTCTGCGTCATCGTCCGGCCAAGCAAAAATCGCCTGCCGATGCTTGCTGGCCGGTTTCTCCTTCGGGTCCTCCTCGAGCTCATTGATACTTAGCGCTCCTCCAGTGAGCAGGGTGGTTACTGATCTTTTCTTCGACTGTTTGGGGGCAGCCAGCCGCTTACCAGCAGCTTTGGCCGCTGCCTCCTCTCCAGCTCCGAGCTCCGCCCAGTCGACGTCCTCGTCCTCGATCTCGACGCTGGTCTGGGTGGTGGGATCAACTCCTTGTGGCCACTCTACTCTAGGGGGTGGCGACACAAACACTGTTGCTCTATCCCGACCATTAACCTAGGTAACAAAAGGGAGTGAACATAGTAAGTTTCCACTTACCCTACCACAATATAAGACTACGGGTACGCGGCAAGACGAGTTACCTTTGGGGGAGGTCGGGCAAGCTTGAAAGCATGCTCGATGTCGCTCAATCTGGCATAATTTGGATCGGCTAAGTTAAATAGCTCGCCAATTCTAGCTTTGACTTCGATTTTGTCAAGCGCCCTCTACCTCATCCTCGTCGGGTCTGCGCTCCCTTGATACTCATAGCCAGGACGTACCCTCCTCTGGCAGGGCTGGACCCGTCGGCTGATGAAACTCCCGACTACACTTGGACCATCTAGTTTTTTCCACGGGATCATTCCAAATATTTCTGGGATCTGTCCCAGGTGCTCGGGCTTCTCCGACCAGCTCGTCTTCTTCTTCAGAATGTAGCCCATGTCGCACAGCGTGATCGTGTTCGGCTCTTCACGGATGTAGAACCATTTTTTGTACCAGTAGTCGAGCGACGTGTTCCATGGGCAGTGCAGGTACTGGGCTTTCATACCATCACGGAGGTTGAGGTATACACCCCCGGCTATCTTCAAACCACCGCTTCCTTTCTTCCGCAGACAGAAAAGATGGCGGAAAAAATCAAAATGGGGCTGGAAGCCGCCATACGCTTCGCACAGGTGAATAAAAGTGGCAACAAGGAGGATCGAGTTGGGATGCAGATTGCAAATCCCAATCTCGTAGTAAAGACAGAGCCCCTGAAGAAACAGATGCATCGGAACTCCAAATCCCCGCTTAAAGAAATCCTCAAACACCACGATCTCACCTGGCTGTGGATCGGGGTCCCTCTCGCCCTCTAGCGCATGCCATCCTGCGAGCTCCTTGTTGTGGAGTACCCCCATGGTGACGAGGTCTTCAATGGTCTGCTCGTTGCTTTTCGACTTCCACCATTCCTTCGCCATGACCCCTGTTTTCTTCTGCGCATCACTTTTCGCCATTTCCTTTCGTTTTCCGCCTCTGACTCCGGCCTTGCTGGTGAACGGGGAGTGTGCTGATCTTCAACAGCAGCGGGGGATTAGCAGGGGCGACAGTCGAAGCGGCGGCGGATTGATTGGTGGCGATTTCGGATCTGTTAGGGTTGGTTGGTGAGAGGAAGACGAAAGCTGCGATTGCGAATGGCAATGGGGTTCCATAAATAGTAACGGACCTATCATATGCCGTATTTAACCCAAGAGTTATGTCGTTTCATCTGCCAGGGATTCTTGGGGGATGTGCACACGCGCCGCAAACGGCTGTTTTCACATTTGCAGTATTACTCAGCTCCGAGATCTACGCCAATAAATGTGCTTCTTCGTTGCCAGTGTGGGAGGGCCCACGCTGACGCACCTACTGACAGGTGCCACGCAACTGTTTGCTTGACAAGACAAAAAGGCAGTATGACGTGCTATACCCGTCTACTTTTTTTACCACCCTCGTGCTCGGGGACTGTCGCGACTATCCTTGTGCTCAGGGACTGTCCCGACCACTATCGTGCTCGGGGACTGTTTCGACCACTCTCGTGCTCGGGACTGTCTCGACCGCCCTCGTGCTCGGGGACTGTCCCGACTACCTTTGTGCTCGGGGACTGTCCCGACTACGGTTATTCTCGGGGATTCGTCGTTTTCCCCATGCTGCGCTCGGGGACTGCCCCAACCACTCTTCGACCATTGCTCAGGGACCGCTCTCCTCGGCTACATGTGATTTGTACTCACATACAGTTGAGAGGCATTTATTTTTTCTCACTTAGACCTTGCTACAAGGCTGATACCTCGCCTTCCAGCAAGCTCGGGGACTACATCGGTACGATGCACCTGCCGGTGCAGCTCATATCGCTTGTACGACGATTGGATTCTCAACTTAACTGGGAATTTTTTTTAGACCCTGGCACCACGTGCCTACGTCACCTACTACCAGGCTCGGGGACTAAGTGGGCACACTTCACCTTGCGGTGAATGTGCTTATTTTATCGACCCCTACGCTCTGACTGTTGGCCATAACTACTCCTATACAGGGGTCACTTACATTTCTTTTCAGAAATACAAGTGGGCACACTTGATCAGGAAAGAATTCTTTTTCTTTTTTCTTTAGAGCACCATGCATTCTTTGGACAACCGGAATCTTCGGCTATAATCGTGGTCTACTGCTCTCTGTGCTGACCAGAATACTGGCACATTTGCTTGGTCAATGTTTCAACCAGTTGGAGATGATATGAAGACAGACTGCATTAGCCGAAGAAGATCAAACGGCGTGTCGCAACATAATACATGGTGCTCGGGGACTAGCTGTGGGGGTATTAACCCCTATACCCTTACGGCTAGGTTTGGGCCAGCCCGGACCAGGGGGTTCGGCCCACCAGAAGACGACGCGCCGATCTGCTCGGAGTCCCACGCAAGGAATCAAGGCAGACTTGGAGATCAAGCAAGATCCTGATCGGTTAGAATAGGAATCCTTAGCCGGCCACCTATGGCAATTGTAACCGGTTGGGATTAGTTTCCAGATCTGTAACCCTGCCCCCAGACTATATAAGGCGGGCAGGGACCCCTCTCAAAAATCATCTCATTTACATACAGCAATACAATCAGACACGGGACGTAGGTATTATGCCCTCACGGCGGCCGAACCTGGATAAAACCTCGTGTCTGTCTTGCGTCACTATCTCGTTCGTAGCTTGCGCACCTGTCTACCGATAATCTACTACCTTGGGCATACCCCTAGGTAGACTGCCGACCATATTTCGTTGACACACACGAAGGGCTAACCCACCCACGCGGCGTGGAAGAGCACACAAAACTACCATGCATTGTCGCCGAGCATGATTGCAAAGCAGCCAGTAGCTCTGACTTCCCATGGCAGACCCCAGATGATCCTAACGAAAACAGGCAGACAACCCAAAGCGAAAGGCCGCAACAGGTCATCGTTGCTGAGATCAAACCCAAGAGCATCTCCGACTTCCAATCTTGATCCTCCGCCCCGCCCCTGGCTTTTGCCCGACCTCCGAAGCAATCCAGTCCACGAAGGGGAGGTTTCACCTCATGTCATCATTGCCGAGCCACATCCCCTGAAGTAGCAGTTCCAACTTCACGCTGCAAGTCCCTCCCTCCACACGCATACCGAACGCCAAGAAACGAATAGCATAAACCGAAGGCGACGTCGTGGCCGAGACGAACTTCAATAGCGACGCCTTCAGGAAGGGAATGATGTCGGGGACACCACCGTCACTCGTCCGAGATGGACCGAGCTTTCGCCCATGGAAGACAGTGCTGGGGAACGTGACGCCCTCAACAGGGGAAGCGGCGCCCACGGGCATCACCGTCACCGAGGCTTTCGCCCAAGATGTCCCCCAGCACAGCGTCAGGCCAAGACCACGGGTCATAGCATGCTGCCCTGCCATCCCACAGAAACCGTTCCAGAGGGCATGGCAGGGCAAGAGGAGGGCCCGTCGCTGCCATACCGGCCGGCCGCGCAAGCCTATCGGCGGCCTGCTCCGGCGGCAGCGCAGCGGAAGAGGGAAGGGAAGGGGAGGGGGCCAGCGGCTAGGGTTGGCCGCCCAAGCCGCCCGCATGGGAGGGCGACACGGGGGCGAGCCGTTCTTGTATGCCACCAAAACAAAAGGAGCTAACATTTTCAACTTTGAACTCAATTACAGATCCATTTGTGATCCAACAGGTCACTGGATATTTGAAAATGTAATACAACATTTTGGAAAAATAAACAAGATATAAAGTGATGAAATTATTCTCCATCTTTCCTATACACTATGATAACCCACCTAATTAACTAACTTTTGAACAAGTATCAAATATGAAAATTCTTGTGTAGCTGATACCTAACCTACAGATGCCAACCCTAGAAACCAGTTGCCCATCAACTCAGGAAACTGCTGTTTACCCCAGCCCTGTACAGCTGCATGGACCTGGGGGAAGAAGTGTAAAGCTTGACCTTGGTGTGAGCCGGCACAAAGAAAACGTCACCTTCCTTTGCCTTTGCGCTGTCAGTCATGAAGCCTGACTGGATTTCTCCTTCTCCTGTCATAACGATGAATATGGATGGACCAGGCACTGGAGACATGGTGACTGATTTGCCAGGAGGTAGCAAGTAGCGGTCAACTTCAAATTCATCAGTTGATGGGGTGTAACGAGTCACGTACGGCTGTACAGGCATTCCTTGCAGAATTTCCGGGAAGGCCTGCATGTAGAAAATCAAAAACTTATTACTTATGTGGCAAGATGTTTCAGCGAAGATATGTAAGTTACATGAGAAAGGAACATCATTCATTAGACTATCTTAACTAAGACTAACAAACAAGATGGAATATTAAGATAAGCCCTCCTCCCCCTTAGTACGAATAAGATTGTAATCAAACTCCACATGTTTTGAGCAATCACATTTCATCATCAAATGATGAATAAAGGGGGGTTATAAGCTGGTAGTGATAATAAATGGAGAATGCAAATAAATGGAGGGAGTAAAACAACTGACCTGATTATAAGTCAACATCGAGCAGAGAGTTTGCACATCTCTGTATTTCGGAGTTAGACCTGCACGGACAACATTGTCTGAAGTGGCCATACATTCAATGCACTCCCCTGAGAGATATGCATGAGGTTCGTTCGCACTAACATAAAGTGCTTCACCAGGATTGAGCTTAACAAAATTTAGGAAGAACGCTGCCAGAACACCAACATCTCCTGGGTACTGCTTCTCCAATGACAAAACTAGTTGCTCCTTCTTTGTTAAACTTCTAGCCTGAATACATGGAAGCATCATCAGGATGAATTAGACAGTATTAGATTAGCCAGAACAAATTTCATGAATTATTTCTTCAAACATTATATTTCTCTCCATTTTATATTAGTCATGCCCTCACCCTGCCTTAGAGAAGTAGCAGAATAAATGATGTAATTGACCCCTGAGAAACAGGATGAAGATAACATAGCACAAAGGACTATTCTACCTCCACAGGCTTCAAATTTTCTGTAGTTAATTCATGCTTGTAATGGAAAAAAATTCATGAGAGATATCTAGAAGATGTCTTCAGAAGCAGGCCAGGGATGGATGAAAAGGCTAATAATATCCCACAATTTGTATCGATTCCATGTTTTTCAAGAATACTTGGGACTTCAATTAATTTTATGTTGAGAATTACAAGTAAAAAGTTGTTTGGTTCGCACCACTAAATGACTATATATTCAGTAAGCATAAATACAACTTTGTTGGCACATTCAACCATATTTGCTGCCCAATCGGATCAGTTGCCTCATCTTGCTTGATATCTGTCATATTCAACATTACCTACCCAACCTATTCCGGAGGTCGTTTTGCCACTGTAGCACCTTTTGGTGCTAAGAAAGGATCACCGAGTCTGAAATGAAGAACAAATGGTGACATGTTACTACCCCATTGGCCAATATACCATTCTCTCATTTCCACCCTCTCTCTCCCACAGGAATCTTCTCACTGTCCATCTCTAAGCTTTCCACCTCAAGGCCAAACTAGACCAGCAACACAATCAAGGCATTCTAACAGCTAATCAAAGTCATTTCCCTGTAACTCATAAAGGTAACTACTAACTACTACAGAATTGGCCTGCATGGATCCTTAGATTGGGCACCACTCAATTATGCTTATATTATATAGCTAAAAAAATCTTTCAATCCCCTAAGAATGTAAAAAAGATATAAACTGGATCAAAGTAGAGCGCCACAGCCAGAAAGTCACTGCCACCAGTCTCTGGGATTATACAAGTAATTCAGATGACATAATACCGATGCAGCAAGAATTGTTCAGAAAAGATCTTTACCTTACTCTCACTGTTCAAGCGAGTCTTAAGGTTTGCAATTGCTTTAGAAACTGCTTCGTCACTCGCTGTCATTAACTTGGTGAAAGCTGATTTCAGATATGACCTCACACCGATCCCCCCATCTTGCTCTTTGACACCCAAAAGCTTCCTAGATTCTTCTTTGCCAACTAATTCCTGAACCTCAGGTACAGTCCTCAAAACTTCCTTGAGCTCCTGGACATCAGTATAAATAAGTCAGTAAATAATAATAATAATAGCCCACACTGATGATCTGCTGAAAAATATATAGTGAACAATTAGCATTCCCTTCTGAAAGGAATGCAATGGATTTAAACAACTTCACAGCTATAGAAAAGAGATAGAACATGCTGATCATGTAAACTGAATATCTCCCAGAATATAGTATGCAGTAACCATTTCACTGTCCCTTACTGCCTAACCTACTAGTCAAAAAAAAGGAACATCTTAAAAATATCTCAAGGATCGAGCTATGAATCGACATATTATCCCGACAATAGTGAACTAATTTGTTCATTATGGAATATGCCATAGAAAATTCAGTGACAATGACACCAGACAATGCTCTTTTGCCCTCCTTCAAACGCCTCCCACCCAACCAAACTAGCTAGCACTTTTCAAGAGCACCGCTGGATGTGATTTGGACAGGAGCTAGCTGCGTATCAGGGCCCATCAGCTTAGGTACCAATGTACCATTGGCCACGGGGTACATCTAGAACGGCTTTAGTGGACAGTATGACTTGTCGTGGAACTAAGGCCACACAGTCAGAAGCTCAGAACCTCACGAGAGGCGTGCGATTTACCAGCATATGCATGCTACTTGTTTATAAACCTCTTCTGACAGACTGACATTAACTCAGAGCAAGAATAAAAATGTTCAGAGGATCCAATCGGATTGTTGTATGCCATTAATTACTGGTATATATTACTACCAAATTCAATTACTACTTGTAAAGAATGGGATTAATTATTCGCAGAATTGATTAATTCATTTACTACTTATGAATGCGATTAAGTATTGGCATAATGACCAAACCCATGAGCAGCTAGCAGCAGCCGGGGAGATCCCACCTCACCTGACCGTCAGTCAACTCCACCCACCTAATAACTATCCGGAATCATCTGCGGAATCCTGCTGCCACGTTCGATTAAAGAATTCAACTAAGCCAAACAGACCAACCAATTTAGCAGCGGGCATCAGCTGATGCCATCCAAAGCTCCAAGTCAACGTCACCACAGATTGGTTGGAGACAAAAATAAAGCAATACAATACAATAAAATTTTCTGGGCCATTGACCAACGGCACGTCGCGCGCACGAACGCAGGGCCGCAGGAAAATGCGGGGGGCACGGCCGTCGTCGTCGTCGTCGTACAACGTACCGGTGTGGCGGCGAAGCCGCAGAGCGCGTGGAACTCGGTGACGGCGACGGCCATCTCGGGCTTGTGGTTGTCGTCGCGGTACGTGGCTGGGCGCAGCGCGTGCAGCGTCGCGGCGAGGTCCCGGTCCGGGTGCGCCTGGATCGACAGCGCCTTCGCCACCGACAGGACCTACGCGTAGCAGCCGGAGGAGCCGCTCAGCGGACAAGAAAAAAATGTTCTTTTTTTGAAGGGGCGCGGGAGGAGGGGAATGGCGGAGGCAAGGGGGAGGCGACGGGACTGACCTTGAAGAGGAAGGGGAGGTCGCCGCCCCATCGCGCGGTGACGTCGCGGCCGAGCGCGGCGGGGTTGCGGGCGACCCAGTCGCGGAGCGAGACGTCGGGCGCGAGCGAGGAGGGCGCGGCGGGGTGCGTGCCCATCCAGAGCTCGGCGCATGGCCGGCCTTCGCCGCCGTCGCCCTCGCCGGCGAGGCGCGCGACGAGGGAGTCGGAGCCGCGGCGGCCCCACTCGTAGTGCTGCACGGCGCAGCGCAGTGGGAGGAGGCCCGGGAGCGGCAGCGAGGGCATCGTCGTCGGCGGGACGGCCTGGTGGTGGCCGTCGGCGGCGTCGGTCGGCGCGACGCGGAGGCCCAGCCGCTCCAGCAGCGCGGCCTCGGGGGCCAGGGACGCCGTGGACGACGCCATTCCGTTTCCGTTCCCGCGCGGACGGAGGGCCCGAGGGGAGGGGTGGGGAGGAGCGGGGAGAGTCTAAGGGGTGGCGGCGGGCGGCGGTTGTGTGTACGATGTGCCAGAGGAGGAGATGTGGAGTGAGTTGGGAGCGGGTGGGGGAGGAGGTGGTGGTGGCGACGGTGAACGGCGAGAGAGGGAGCAGGGGAGGCAGCCAGACCGGCTCATCGCGCGGAAGAGCGGTTACGCGCAGCGCCTTGTGGGCCCGGGTCGTTCCCCTTTTTCCTCGTTTCCCTTTTTCGGAAGTCCGTAGGCCGTAGGGATAGACAGGCACCAGTGACGACTGGTTCTGTATTTTCTCTACTATTAATTTTTTTTGTTCCATTTTTTTTTTCCGTTTTGGTCATCACACGGTGACAATGTCGTGGTCGTATTTGCAGCCGAATAACTAGTGACGTAGATGTAAAGTACGTGTATACGTACACGACCCATCATGGTCGTTCGAGTAATAAGCGACCCGGTGCTTTTTGCAAGGAAACTCGACGTTCATATATGTTAACAAGCTGGAACTTCTGACAAAATTACAAGCACGACTAGGATCCAATTGCCCTAAAATATACTCCTTGTTTTTTTTTTGCAGGGAATATCCATTTCGGGTCGCTTTTTCGACGATGTACATCATATAAATACGTGTACATTTAATAGGAGGAATACAATAATACAATCATTGACGAAGCCAGAAAAAAATTTAAAAGAGGCTGAACAAAAGAATAGAGGTTTTTTTATCTTCTCTTAACCTTAGCCTCTCCTACCTCATACATATATGCATAAAATTTTAAGAGAGGGCTTAGGGGAGCTCCACGTGCTCGGGAGCTAGAGCCCCCCTAGCCCCACCGCTGGCTTCGTCACTGAATACAATATCAGTCCCAATGCTTATAAAAGGATTAATAAGGAATAAAAAAAAAGTGAATACACAAATTACATCGAAAAGATCGATGTACTCCCTCCGCCCTCAAGCACGAGGTACCCAAGTATTCAAATTTGTCCATGTATGATGTAACCAACCGTCTAAAAGACCTAACATTCACACGCATGCATACGTACCTTTACATGCATCATTTATTTCGTGGCATTAGTTTGCTATGATATCTTATATTTCACGACAGCGGCAGTAGATAAACGCGGTAACTGATGCCCCGAATTGCAAATCGGGACCCAACGAGGCTACGAAGTATATATGCACTGTGTATATGACTAGAGTCAACAAGCGAGGATTGCTTAGTGACGTCGCTGGTGCCTTCTCTCACCAAAGGGCAGTATTCTTTTCTAAAATCTAGTCAAATGTTTAAACCGATTTCATTTTGGTATGTATGGAGACGCGGAAGTGTGATGTTTAAACCGTGGGCGAGCGGCGAGCCAGATCGCAATCGCATCCCGCCGGTCCGGGTCCGGGTCCGGGTCCGGGCACCTCCCAGCTCTACCCGGTGAAGCTCACAGCGCAAATCGAACGTGTCGTGCGTGCCACACTGCCACTGTCAGCAGTCGATAGATTTGACTCCAGCTACGCGACATCCGCAACTGTTTATTTCAATGGTTCGGATCTCGATCGGTACATTATTATTGCTTCAAAAATCAATCAATCAATTATATATATCAATATAATAGTAGTGGGGACCTGCGAGGCTACATCTGCAACCATATACATAGCATGTTCGCTTGTTGATTTCAGCCAGCCCAAACTAGCCAGTCAACAGTGTTTTTCTCTAAAAAAAAAACAGCACCAACCAACGAACAGGCCCATAATATATACGTACTCTTCCCGTCTAGTAAAGGATAGCACAAGATTAGTACAAGTCAAACCTATGTTAAGTTTGATACAATAAATATTTTTAATATTTATATCTTCAACTAGAGTTTCTACGAAAATAAATTTTATAATTAATTTGATTATACTTATCTTATATCGTAAGGGTAACATTTCTTTCTATAATTTTAGTCAAACTGCAAATTATTTGACTTCTTGTAAAATGAGATCTGGTTTGCGTCCTATGTTTTGCATTGCATTGTAATGTAGGAGTAATATATAATCTTCACTTCAGGTAGGTCATCAGTTTTAGAATGGCACGCCCTCTGACATTGAGGCTTTGTTGCTGCTAATATTGCCGTTATGTGGAGATTCGTTTATAGGAGAGACTAGCGCCTGGACATCCGGACGTGGCGAGCGTCTGGCCACCCGTTTTGAATAATGATACCCTCAGGGCGTTTATGGATGCAGCTTCGTGCTCCGAGCCTGCTGCCACGCCCCTGGATACAGCTTTGTGCTCCACGCCTGCTGTCGCGCCCGCTTCGCTTCCCACACGTACGCAGTCCCGAGGGGACCCCCTTCGCTTGCGCCCCTTGCCGTGCCTGCTCATGAAACACTTTCAACATAAAGCATTTGCTGCAACATACGTCTAAGACAGATGAAACATTTACAACATACTCCTACATTTGCAACATGTGTATGAGCACTGCAAAATCCAGATAAAATACTTACAACATATATTTGAAACAGTTGAAATATTTGAAACATACACTTTGCAACATACGTGTATAGCCAGTGCAACATATGCAACATCCAAATAAAATACTTGCAACATACGTTTAAAACAGCTGAAACATTTGAAACATACACTTGCAATATATGTGTATAGTCATTGCAACATATGCAGCACCAGATCTACTTTTGCAACATTCAGATGAAACATACGCAATATACATCTAAAACATATGAAACATACTGTTGCAACAAGTGCTCATCTACTTGCATCCCCCCAATGGACGCTCGTTGATGCGGAGCTTGATGCTAGCACGGAGCTCGATGCCATGGCGTGGAGATCAGACCTCGGTTGTGCGCAACGCGAGTCCGAACAAGAAGCGCGATAGAGCGCAGCGCGAGGCATAAGCGGCGAGCGACGCAAGGCGAGAGCAGCGCGCGGCGTGAGGCACGGGTGAGGTGTATTACTAACCTTGGAAAACTGAGAAGATAGATAATCACTCCATTAGTGGAGAGGTATATATAGGCACACATATGGGCCAGTAGTAGAGGGGCCTTCACTTAGCACCCCCTTCAAACTCAAGGTGGAAGTGGAGGATATGAAGCATTGAGTTTGAGCAAGTGAAACCGATGTTGCTCTCTAGTTTGCGCTTTGGTGAAGAAGTCGGCCAATTGCAGCTCGGATGGCACATACTGAAGAGCAATTGTATGTTGATTACAGTGAGACCGAGTAAAGAAAGCATCAACACCAATATGCTTGGTAAGTTCATGCTTCATAGGATCATTGGCAATCTGTATAGCTCCTGTATTATCGCATAGAAGAGGTGTGGCAGCATCACAAGAAATCCCAAAATCAGCTAACAACCATCGAAGCCATACGATTTCTGAAGTAGTGGTGGCAAGTGCTCGAAGTTCTGCCTCTGTACTAGAACGAGATACATCGGCTTGTTTCTTTGACTTCCATGCAATAGGAGAGAACCCAAGAAGAATATAGTACCCTGTGATGGAATGACGATCTGTTGGGTCACTCGCCCAAGTGGAGTTCAAGTAAGCATAAAGCTGAAGTGGACTATCACGAGCACAGAATAAGCTGTGAGATGATGTCCCCCTCAAGTACCGCAAGACGCGAAGTAAATGGCCAAAATGAACAGACGTAGGCGCACTCACAAACTAACTTCAAAATATGGCCGGCATGAGCAATATCAGATCGAGTAACAGTGAGATAAACAAAGGCTGCCCACAATATGCTGATATCTAGACGGATCCTCAAGAGGAGTACCATCAGTGGGGCGAAGCTGCAAGTGAAGATCCATAGGTGTCGCAGCTGTCCGATGGTCAGTGATGCCTAAACGAGCAATAAGGTCTTGTATGTACTTGGACTGAGAAAGATAGCAGCCCTTTTGCAGACTGTTTAACCTCAATGCCTAAGAAATAGTTGAGTGGACCTAAGTCAGACATTTGAAATTGTGCACCAAGCTGCTGCTTGACATAAGAAATGTGGTCTGCACTATCACCCATAATCAATATGTCATCAACATATAGAAGAAGCAAAGTACGTCCATGTGAGGAGAGGTGGATAAAAAAAGCAGGGTCATGATCACTAGGTGAAAAACCAGTAGCTCGAATGACAGAGACAAAGCGCTCAAACCAAGCACGAGGAGCCTGTTTAAGACCATATAAAGCCCGACGAAGACGACAAACATAACCTGGAGGGGCATTAACACCTGGGGGTGGTTGCATATAAACTTCTTCATTTAAATCACCATGAAGAAAGGCATTCTTAACATCCATCTGAGAGATTTTTCAAGAAGTAGCCACTACAATTAAAGTACGAACAATAGTCATATGAGCAATAGGTGCAAATGTCTCATCATAATCTCTGCCCTAAGTTTGCTGAAAACCTCTGGCAACTAGAGAGCCTTATATCTCTCAATAGAACGATCTGACTTGGTTTTTATTTTGAAAACCCACTTGGATGTAATAGGCACAGCATGCGATGGTAATGGAACAAGATCCCAAGTGCCTGTACGATCAAGTGCAGCAAGTTCCTCACACATAGCAAGTTGCCATTCTGGAATGCTAGAGGCCTCTCAATAAGTGGTTGGCTCTTCCACAATAGCATTGACATGAGGAAAACCATACTTGTCAGCATGCCCAATAGTAGCATGATCTTGTAGATTATATCTCGGACCACCCTGTGACTCATCAGAAAAAGCACATGACTCATCAGTATTAACAGAAGTATCAACATCGGGAGGATTAGGACTGGCCGAGGAAGTGGGTGTGGGGACCCGGGGACGACGAGTGTAGTATTTCAGGACAGGTGGTTGACAAGATGGAGGTTCAGGAAGATCTAATGGTGGAGGATCGACACTGGAAGGTGGAGGGTCGACATGAGTAGGTGGAGTAGTTTCAACAGTATCAGGAGGAGACACAAGAGTGTTGGGTGGGCTAGAAGACACGGGTGGTGTAGGAGTGGCAACATCACTGAGTATAGGTGGAAGACATGTAAAGGTTGTTGACTCAGTACAACGATGGGATGGCTGAGTAGAAGGATTATAAAAGAAAGGACGATCTTCAACGAAAGTGACATCACGAGATATACGAATACGATGAGAAGAGGGGTCATAACAACGATAACCCTTATGCTTAGGACTATACCCCAGAAAAACACACTCAACTGACTGAGCAGTCAGCTTAGTACGCTCACAAGGTGCAAGTAAAACATAACATGTGCAGCCAAAAATGCGAAGGTGGTCATAGTTAGGAGGAGTACCAAAAGAAATCTCACCAGGACACTGACCAGACAATTTTGATGATGGTCATTGGTTGATGAGATAAACAGAAGTGAAAACAGCTTCTCCCCCGAAATGAGAAGGAACAAAAGATGCAATAAGAAGTGTGCGGGCAGTCTCTATGATATGGAGGTGTTTCCGTTCAGCAAACCCATTTTGAGCATGGGCACCAGAACAAGTGAGCTGAGCAAGAGTTCCCTTAGAGGTCAAAAACTGGCGAAAGGTGTGAGATAAATACTCTCCACCAGAATCAAAACGAAAAACTCAAATGGGGTTAGAAAATTGTGTGTGCACCATGCGAGCAAAATTTTGATAAATAGAGCACAATTGAGATCGATGTTTCATAAAATAAATCCAAGTATATCGAGAATGATCATCAACAAAAATAACATAGTCTTTATGACCACCTTTGGTAGCAAAAGGTGCAGGACCCCATATATCAGAGTGAATAAGATCAAAAGGTCTAGCTGAATGCGAAGTACTAGTGGAATATGGGAGCTGCAGCTGTTTTCCAAGCTTGCAACCCTTACAATGAAAACTATACTCAATGGATGTAGGACCTAAACAACCCTTGTTTATTAAGGTGGACAAACGAGACCCGCATAAATGACCAAGACGATGATGCCACTTGGTGAAGGACGAAGTCGATGGAGATGCACTGGATGATGAAGCAGCGGAGGACACACGAGCAGTAGGGTGAGGAAGGCGCAAGGTGTCGAGAACATAGAGGCTAGGAGAACCTCTACGGCGATGGCCAGTCCCATGTACAATCCCGGTGCGACGATCCTGAATAAAACAAGATGAGTCATCAAATCCGACAAAACAGTCATTATCGGTTACTTGACCGACCGAAAGAAGATTCATGGACAACTGAGGTACAAATGAGACATTAGGTACAGGAAAAATTAGAGGTGCAAAGAGAACCCCCATGTGAGTGATGTGACAGGATGTACCATCTGCTGTCTGAATAGAGGCACCATCAGCAATTGGCTTGCAAGCAACAAGCTGAGACTGGTCAGATGTCACATGAAAAGAGGCTTCTGAATCAAGCACCCAAGATGACGACGGAGCGCTAACAGGTGAAGCGGCAGCAACAGACACAGAGCCTTTAGGAGTGGAACCTGCGCCACGACCACGAGCTGCACGATGTGCACGCTAATCAGCTAGCTTCTCTGGATACCGAGCAAAACAATATTCTGAACGATGAGTAGTCTTCTTGCAATGCTCACAAGGCTCAGAAGAGCTGCCCTTGACTGTGTTGGTCTTCTGAGAAGCCACCAGAACACTGAGGTACTGATACAGAGGGCGACAGAGAACTAAGACGGGTCTCTTCAGCAATCAACGCAGACAACACATCAGAGATTGATGTAGTGGAAGCATTCAGCAGCTGCTTACGAATAGACTCAAAATCAGACCTCAAGCCATGACAAAACTGATATATGAGGAATTTCTCAATGAACTGAATGAACACCCATTCTCACACTTTGGAACCATGGAGAGAAAAGGTCCCATAACACGATCAAAAGCGGTGTAGTATTCTTCTATGGACATCTCATTCCGCTGAAGCTCATGAAGGCCTTGCATGAGAGTAAGGAGAAGAGCACCACTGTTCTGAACATATCGCCCCTTCAAATAGTCCCACATCTCCTTGGCAGACTCATGATTCTAAAGACTCATCATCAAGGAAGGCTTCATACTGGTGACAATGGCACTCATCACACGGCCATCAGCATCAGTCCAAGCCTTGACGGTAGCAGCACCAGAAGCATCCTTAGACTTATCAACTGGAGGATCACCAGTCAAATGAGATCCAAGGCCATGTCCCCGCAGAACAGTCTTGACAGAAAAAGCCTGTCACCGACCTAGATGCTAATACATCCACACACACGAAGAACAACTGGTTTCTGGAATATACTAGAAGGTTCTAGATACATGAATCAAAGGAAGAAGAGGAAGGGGATAGGAACTCTAGCCGCAGCTGGTTTCTGACAAAGCCCACTCTCGATAGTTACTAGGACCCTCAAGTTTCAGAGGAAAAACAATCACATTGGGCTGCGACTGCGACATTGTGAGACAACAGGAGACCAGAGCAGAGGAAATCCTTCATAACAGAGCACCAGACAATAAACAAGAGGACACTGCAGAACTCCAAGCAGCAGACAGAGCACGGTCAGAGCACACCACCGCAGCAGAACAGAGTACACAGCAGAAGATGCAGTACCGGAGCAAATCACGATGGAGAATCGAGCGGGCGGAGGAAGCCACTCGGACGACGGGACGCGCGAAGATGGCGCGGGCGGAGGAGCGCGCGACGATAGGCACGGGCGCGGGTGAACGTCCGCGACGGGCGGAGGTGTCCCCGACGGGAGAAGGGCCGCTCGACAAGGCGGCGTCTCCGTGCGACGATGGGCCGCGCGGAGGAACGGCGCGACGACAGGCCGTGCGGAGGAACGGCGCGGCGATGGGCCGCGCGGAGGAGGGACGACGCGGCAACCCGGCAATGGCCGAACGAACAGAGGATGAATCCCAAGGGGAAAAAAAAAGATCTCGTGGGTGATTTAGATTAGTCTAAACCTAACCCTAATCCATAGCTTTGTTACCATGTTACTAGCTTTGAAAAACTGAGAAGATAGATAATCACTCCATTAGTGGAGATATATATATAGGCACACATATGGGCCATATAGGCCAGTGTAGAGGGGCCTTCACTTAACAAGGAACAGGGGCAGGCGAGTCCGTCCCATCCAGCCGGATGGACGCTCGGTACACAGCATTACCGTTGATTTATAGGCCTTGGGCTGCTAGACAAGCGGTTCTATCAACATCAACACATAAGATGTTTTGTTTGACAAATGAACTAGTACATCTTTTCAATTTTCACTATTTTATTTGATTTATGGAATGAATTCATTCATTACCATCTCATTTTTCACAAGCTAAGCTAAGCTAATATTAGTACTAATATGAGAAACTAAGTCATTCTACCAAATTGAACGAATAGACTCATGATGCATCACCACATCTTGAATAAAGTTATTTCTCAAATCAGCATCACCCTTTTAGTTCCCACAATAAACATTGGATTCAACTGCAGATTTCAATTTCCATACCCCACATCGTCCGCATCTATCAGAATAAGCTAGTGATACGTCCACCATATATAGAAAATAAATGGTAGCATTGTGAAAGACTGTACATCACAGTACATACAACAGTTAATATTCATACCGCAGTAAGGAGGAGAAAAGATGCAACAACAATGGATTTACATTAAATTGTGGGTGACACACACCCAAATTGGCCACGGCAGGCAGAAGCCCAGGCTTAACCTTTGTGAGTCAGTATGATGCACGACGGGGCATCATCAACAACAAAACGAACCTGAGAAGTATGGTCAGTAGTCGTGAGCAACTACTGGAGTTGTGTTGTTAGCGCCCCTATTGCTGTTGCTGCGGCACTGGCTCGTGCTGCGGGGTGGCAGGGGAGTCTGGAGCGATAGCAAACTGGAGAGCACGGCCCCTGGCCGACTGTAGGATGAAGGCCACCTCTGCTGCCGCCAGTGCAGCCTCCTCCTGCAGAAAAAGGAAGAATAAGCACATGGAGAACTTAGAAGGCGTGCCATATCAGCAGCAACAAAAGTTTAGGACCAGTAGCTATAGAATGGTTTATCTAACTACCTATAGTTCAATGCTATGGTGATCTTCCTATGTGCCAAAGAAATATTTGTTTGCAATTGGTTCAAAAGGATGCGTATATAATTACAATGATGATTTGGAACCAGATTTTTTTCATGACCAAACACATGATCACTTCAAGATTGCATCAAATTAGGTACCTGTCTTTGTCGCCGGCGATGCAAAATACTGAATATCCATGCCATGATGTAGCACGGCAGCAGAAACCCAGCAGCTCGCAGCAGAAAAAGCTACAAAGGATTGAGTCAGCACAAAGCACTATCTGGACCGCTAACATCTAAGTAAAAATGAAAGACTACAACAGTTACCGAGAACATGGTAGAAGCATCATCATCATTTCCTTCGTTGTCTGAGATAGACAATGCATGCCTTAGAAGCAACAGCGCCATTAACTGCAAAACCAAGCAGGATTTTAAGGTAGTCTACCTTGATATACTCAACATCTGTTGCTTGACATTCGGTAGATACTCGAGGAGAGCTAAGGTGATCAGACTAGGAGGAGACAGCAGAGCAGAAGAGGATTTGCTGTGAAAATCAACAACACTTTTGTATTCTCTAAGCAATTAACCAACTAAAAGCACTGTTTTTCCATCCACAAACAAGTTGTGACTTGTGAGACAAATGTAAAATATATAAAAGCATTGTCCTTCAATCCAAAAACAAAACTGTCCTGAAATAGCTACTCCCTCCGTTCCAAATTGCAAGTGGTTTTAGCCATTTTAGATACACAATTTTTACCAAGCATCTAGACGTAAGGTATATCTAGATGCATAGCAAGAGCTATGTACTGAGAAAAGTTAAAACTACTTATAATTTGGGATGGAATGAGTAATATTCAGACATCGGTTCAGCTAATAAAGGGCAATAAGATCAGGAATTGCTGGACAGTGCTTACAATAAGTGCAGCTGAACGGCAGAATGCAGCACCACTAGCATCTGTAGTAGCATAACCATCATACTCTGCCTCAAGAAGACGACGTTGGGCAGCTGCTACAGCGAGAATTCTTGGGTCACGCAAATCCATAATCAAATCACCGCTGAAAAGTGATGCACCTTTTGCTTAGATATGTTCTAATTCTATTCACTCAAATTAAAATGGCCCAAAAATGTCCAAAATAACTTACTCGATGTCTATGGTTGTCTCATCTGGCTGAACACGAGGGGGCGCAGTGTAACCAGGCTTGTATTCCTACAGGTTATCATCAAGTCTGGAAGGAATCAGTATACAGGAAAGGAAACTTTAAAATGCACATAGGGAAGGGCCAAAGCATGTTCTACAAGTCTAATATACTCTGGAAAATTTAGAATCTTCCATAACAGTAAGTACAAAAAAATCAATGTTTTAAATAGCGGGCTAAGGTGTTTAGCGGTATATCTCTAAAACAGCTAATAGCGGGGCTATATCGAGCTATAGCGGGATATAGCGGCTAAATTGTACATGAACACAAATAGCGGCACCCCGCATCAAAAGGCTATAACGGGCTATAGCATCAGCTATAGCGGGAGATTTAAAACTATGAAAAAAATCTTTGAATATTTTTATTATCTCAGAGGTTGTTAATGACAAAAGTGTGTGTTAGCAGGGGGGCACTAAAAAATAGCTGCAATCAATAATTGAACTTCGAAGCGATTCATACTTGAATAAGAATACTGAACATACAAATCCGATTGACCAAAATTGGTGAACTAGATAAATACCATTTAAAACACACACAAACTTATCATATGATTAGTCAGTTTCTTAAAACACCATCCAAATTAAATCACTAGTCTAAACCAATAAAGTCTAATCACACATGGTACAAATCCTTCTAGTATAAACACAGGTAGATAAGCAAACCAACTGCACATGGTGTGAGCATATGATCATGGGTCTTGGACCATTTTAGTTCTAGTTTGTTGGAATATAAGAGAATTGCCCACCTCTTCCCATCAGCTTAAGCTTTTGGGTTGAACTGGTCGGTGCATGCAACTCAATATGATATCAGAGCCAGAGGTCTCGAGTTCGAATCCTGGTTAGCGCAATTAAAAAAGGGCGTACCCAGTGCAGAGAGCTCCCGCTCTGTGCGGGGTCTGGGGAAGGGTGTCAGTGGCAAGCCTTACCCTCGCTTGTGCAATGCGAGGAGACCGCGACTCGAACCCAGGACCTTCCGGTCACAGGCGATAAGACTCTACCGCTTGCACCAGGCCCGCCCTTAGCACAATTAAATAAAATAATTGTTGCTCGCTCCTATTCCACGTCTGAGGCCTGAGGGAGCCTCCACGTGAGGGGGAGTGTTGGAATATAAGAGAATTGCCCACCTCTTCCCATCAGCTTAAGCTTTTGGGTTGAACTGGTCGGTGCATGCAACTCAATATAGTTGTTTGCAGTGCATAATACTAGTGAGGTGATCATGAGAACAACCCTTTGAGTAGAAGAAACATGGGCAACAAGATTTCAGAGATACATATATCAACATATGTACTATGACAATTTTATATAGATCAGCACTAAAAAACTAGAACCAAAATGAAACATGTATCAGTGGAATGAACCTGAAAGAAACCTAACCGACCTCATGGCAAATTTCACAAGTAGTGTCTCCTTTCTCATTGCACCAGCGTTGCACGCAAGCTCTGTGAGCATACTGCACAAGAAAAGTAAAGCTATAAGTTTTTTATTGCATCAGAGTTTCATGCAAAAGAAAATATTTAACTATATCACTCAGCATGAATAGAAAGAAAAAAAACTTTTAGATCACAAAAAGGTATAAAATAAATCCCAAGATCCTTTTTTTCTAGGTAAAATTATAACAAAGAATACAAAGTTCTACATTGACAACATTAGAAGGCTTTCTATATTTGTGGTAGAAGTTGAAAAATGTCCATGAATAAATCATTAATGAAAAAGCAGCAAATTGACTAAATATAAAGAACATGAAAAATTGCAGCAAGGTCAGTCCAGAAGTT